AACCTTCCCCCCCTTTCCCCATGGCCCTTAACCCTAAACCCTCAAGCAAGCTGCCTTCAGTCTGACCATCAGGGTCCAGCTAGCTGCAGAAGTGGAGGCAGGGTGAAGCAAAATGAAATCCGCGCATGTGTTCTGAGCGAGCTGACTTTAGGGAGTCACTAGGGTCTTCCGCTGAAGGCTGTGATTCAATGACAACCGTCATTCTGGTTTGCTTGGAATTTTTGCGCAGCAAAAGTGTCAGCACCCTGCACGTATTGGGTCTGGGAGGCCTTGGGCGTCTGGTGGGGCAGATATTGGCAGAAGATGTTTTTTCTTGTTCCAGCTGTGAGCCGCATGCTGTCCTCAAGTTGCAGGTTCCGGTCGACGCGTTCTCGATCCTGTCGGTCGTCGGCATCGGATCTCGAGTGCCTTCTGCTGGCCCAAGCACCTGCTGAGCCGTGCTTGACGAAGCCTGTGCTTTTACTAGTCATGTAATTCGCCTAGCTTCTCTCTGGCTTTTCTCGGGCTTTTCTCTGCCTTTCGTTCCGGCTTCCTGCGTGAGGCGCTGCGGCCTTGGATGCATCTAACTGCTCCGCCCCTAAAGACGCGATGTGATACCCGATGTGCCCGTCTCCTTAGCGGTGTGTGTGTCTGACGGGGAAGCCTGGCTGAGGGTCGTGTGCTGCACACCGCCGTGTTCCTGCGCTTGTGAAGCAGTGGCCGTCTTGCTCAGCTTGCTGGCCTATCTGCAGGCGCATCAGTGGTTTTTTGGCTTTCAGCCTTCACGCCCGCGCCCCCTGTGACGTTACAGGTGGATAGGTGGATAGGTCAGCTCGGAGCATCAACGAAGTTTTCTGACTGGAGAGTGGCCAGGACGGGCTCTACCCCGGCAAGCGCAGGCTGCCGCTCAGATGTGCCTTGAGCTGCATCTCATCTTCTTTGCTCTTCTTTGCCATTCTATGTCTGAATTCTGCACAGAAGCCGGTTGTGTTTGGAGCGTAGGGCGGCTTATTCTAGGCTTCAGGTCGGTGCGTTGCGGCAATGCTGTAGGGTGAGGGCCCCCCCACACCCCCCACTGGGATCCCTTCGCACTCGTGTCGGGGCCGGGTTCTCCGTGAGTTTTCCTGGGAATTCCGGGAATCCCTGTGCCTGCTTCTTGCCAGCAAGCCCTGGGAGTTGCTTGGCTGCGTCCCCGATGACGTGTGGCCATCGATAGCCGAAGACGAGTTCGTTCTGGCAGGGGAGGTTTGGGGCTCAGGTCCAATTCTCATCCTTCCTTGTAAGGGGTTCTGTGACTGTGGCGAGGTGTCTGGTGTTAGGCAAGGCCCACACGTGGTCCGAAGGTGCCAGTATATGGGTGCCACCTTTTCAAACTCTGCAGATCACTGCTCTTGATTGAATTGTCGTGTGGCTGATCCGGCCAGCAGTCCATGTCCCCACATTTGGTCGCCGTGCCGACTGTGCCTTTGAGGGCAAATGCACAAGGCTTGGGGGACGGCTCTGGAGCGCGTGGCGCTAAGGTCGTACTAAGTCGCAGAGCTTGCCTTCGACGAGCTTCGACGTTTACACAGTCTTTGGGAAGAGCCCCGATCGGCCTGTCGAAAATCCAGACCAGGTGCACGTGGCTCTGCAACTACGAGCTACGTCCTGGCTCGGATGTCTTCGATGCACGGCCTGCCCGCGCGACCTCACCGCATGTGGGAGGTTCATTTGTAATCTGCCTTCGTGGTCGGCTGAGCAATCGAGTCAAGCGGGCGCGGACACGGCAGCAGCTTGCGCGCTTCGTTGCCCAGATCGCACGGCCAGCAAGCGAAGCTCGCGTGCAAGTCCTGTTCTGTTGCCGGAGAGGGTCTGGCCGGTCTGGATCATCTCTCTATGCGCGGGAAGCTGAAGCGGCGCAAGCACAGGGTGGCCCCGTGAGGGCCGTTGCATGTCGGCCACGACGTCAGACACGTCAGACGTCCCGATTCCCCGTTCGGCCGTGGGCGCTCCCTAAACGTCATCGTGCTGCGGGTAAACGAGGGGTTTACTGTCCTTTTAAATTAAATGCCCCCCCCAGACCCTCCCCGACCTCCCTTCAATCTTTTCCGAGAAGTGCTCCCAGCAAAGCTCCTCTTCGGCAGTCTTCAGCACAGCATTGAGGTGGCCAGGCTGGCAGCGGCGGCACTTCGAAAGGTGCCTCCCTTCTGTACGGAGAAGACTGCGCTGCTTTCAGGAGCTGAGAAGCTTTCGAGGAGTTGGACGATAATCCGAGTCTAGACGTGGCCTTGAAGCAGGGGGAAAGTCATGGGCGCCTTCACACTCGTTCTGGGGGCCTTAGAGCATCAGCAGCAAGCTGAATACAGCTTGTTCTGCAAGGTGGCATCCTGCGCCAGGGTGTTGGGACATGCATGCCTTTCCCGCAGACGTCGCGTCAGGTGACCGCGGCATCTGTGAGTTCTAGGTCCACTGCAGCCCATGGTGAAGCCTATAGCGTGCAGGGAAGCAACGCACAAGAAACGGGGCAGCTTTGGATGCGCCAGCCTGGGACGCAGCAGGCTCCTTCACAGTCTCCGAGCGTTTGCACGACACCATGAACGAAGAATCGCTATAATTTAGCACGGCCCGTTGCTGATGCAAGAGACCGGATAGCAGGATCTTCCCTGCCTCCAGCGCACATGCATACGTTTTTCTGCCAGGGCCGCTCACGTACGATTTGCTCCTGTCAAAAGAGTTGCAAGGTCGTAGGAGTAGGAAGCAGATGGCCCTTGTTGCCAGGGGGGAATCGATGAGTCGAACGCCGAGTCCTAAACCCCAAAAGCCCCAAAATTCTATCGGCCAGTCAAGCCCTTGAGCAAGACAGGCGCCTTTCCTGTCCCACTACAGCGCTGGACGCAGTTCGATCTTCAGGTCCGTGCCTTCTTTAGTTCCCGGGAGAGACGGGAAAAGGGGAAAAGGGCCAGCTCCCGTCTCGAACCCATCCTGTGAGGCTCCCGGAAAAGAATCGCAGGCGTTTGAACATGTTTAAATCTGAGACACGAGTCTGCCTGAGGCCCAGCTCATCCCTTGGAGCAAACTTATTGATGTCGATTCTGTCTAGACCCTGTGCTGATGCGCCAGCTCCTGTTCACTCTGAGAGTGATTTGTAGCATGCGACACGCTGTGGCTGTGACCGTGGTGGCTTGGAGCCCGTGCTGGTATACCGGACCTTGCCAAAGAGCAAGTGCACTTGCGAAGCATCGCGAAGCACATCTGTCACTGACTGGGCTTTGTCACATGCTCTCGAGCTTCCTGGCGTGCCGTGTAACAGCAGTAGCACGCACATGCATGCAGGATAGAAAATCTCTTCCAAGCACCGGCATGGGTCTCCAGCATCCATCGCAGGCGTGCGCATTGGCAGAAGTGCACGAGGCCAGCACTGTTTCTGCCTCCTCGCTTTGGACGATCTGCATGGCGCACGCCACCAAGGCCCGCACGCACTCTGAAGACTCCACTTTTGGCTATGAGGGCTCAGTCGGCTAAGTTTCCGTGCCGGGAGAGCGCTCGTGCGGCGTTGGGCTCGGAAGCATTCCATTGTCAAAATTGTGATGGTCGTGTGGGCCCCTCATAGAGCGGTGGCTTCTCCTGCGTCTCTGCTTTCAGAGGCTCACTCTCCAACAAGGAGCTTATGTGCAGTTTCTGAGACAGCACAGCCCTGAATGCATTGAGAATGTTGCGATGAGGAGAAGAATGAGTGGACCTGAGTGGAGGTGCGCCTCCTGCGCGTATGCTCAAGGTGCGCTGCTCTCAGGTTGAAAAGGCAGCAGCCAACTGCTGCCGCGCCAATCAGATGATCAACGACGAGACAGCACTTCTTTGGCAGAGTTGTGGTCCTTCCGGGTTGTTTCTCCCAGACCTGGCGGCAGGTTCTAGGCCCAGCCCCAGGTCTCTGCGAGATTCAGGGGTTTTAAAGGTCTAAGCCCTCAATTCTAAACCCTCAACCCTGAACCCCAAACTCTGCCTTAAAAGAACACTGTCCGGAGGGTCAGCCTCCCTCTCAGAGCGGATTCTCTAAGGTCTCGAAAAACGCCCACGTTGGAAGCAGGTCTTCATGAGCGCCGAGCCGAGCTTCAGATGGCCCTGCGATCACCAAGGCGCTTTGCGTTGGGTTGGCAAAAAGGTGCGGTGAAGGATTTCTCTTATGGTAGTGACCCAGGTACTTAGAGGTTTCATATTATGGGTATGAGTATCAGTGATTGAGGTAAATATGACACATATTCGGTTGATGATCGTCGCATAATATGGAAGCAGATCCCAAAACCAGAGCGAAACTCGAAAAGAGTGGACCGCACGCACGTGTGGACCCCCCCCCCCCCTCCTGATTAATTCGCCTTCTCGATTTAATATCTGCTCTTTCATATACACAGGTGCCTCGAAGACTCTCATGTGGAGGGGCGGGGGGGGAGTGGAGGGGGGGGGGGAGGGGGGGGGGGAGAGGAGGGGGGGGATATACATTATGGATTTATTTTCCGGATTATGAAGCGACAATTTCAAATTCATCAAAGCTCAATGTTTTACGCTTCTAGTCTTGGAACATCCATGTTCACCCCATCAACGCCAACTCTTTTTGTAGCAAAGCTGGTTCGCCAAAAAATTCAGATGCCATGAATATATATATATATATATATATATATATATATATATTTGTTTTTTTATGTATAGATATCTGTATGTATATATATATATAGAAATATATTCTGAGCGGAAGTGACAGGGTGACAAGGGTTTGGTAGGCCTCGCAGGGTGGTTGTTGTCTCGGGCATTGGCGTTGAGGTCGACCTGATTCGACCTGGTGTTGTTGATGCTGTCGTTGATTTGTCTTTGCGCATTTGGCACGTCAACACAGCCCAATGTGAAGGTTTGCGCTCAGCTAACAACCCCCTAAGCTTTAAGCTTTAAACCCTAAGCCCCTTACGGCTGGCAAAGAAGCTTTCTACGGCTCAGTTTTGTTCGCGCCCAGCATCGATTAGTTACTTGCGTCTCGCTCCAATCTCCGGTCTGACATGTCCAAGGAGGTGAAAGCCACAGTTGCCGGTGACCTGCAACTTCCTTCATTCGGTCTCCCGAACAGCTTTGGATGGAATCATGGGGTCGTCATGGGCATCGGAAATCCGCTGTCGGTTTTGCTTCGACGCCGACATGCGAAAGGCGACCTTCAGGCTGGCAAGCTGGAGCAAGTTGAGCTGGAGGGGCTCAAGGCCCAGAAGCTCTCAGGAGAGAAGCAGAATGGGAAAGTATGGAGCCTGAGTGCAGCCTTGGCTTCAGTCAGGGAGCGCGTGCGCGCTTCACGGGGGACAGCATCGCCGCGATGACCGCCCTGGGCACCAAGCGCTCCCTGGGACGCAATTGGCGCCCACTTTTCGGGGCCCCCCCGGCCCAAAGAACCGTGCCTCGTGTTGAGGCAGATAGAGAACTTGGGCCTTGGGAGATGCCCCCCCCCCCCCCCCCAGCTTGCGCAGATGCAAGCAAGCTGTGCAGGCCATTTGGCCCATTTCCACCAGCCTAGGCATGGGAAGCAGCAGTGACCCAAACCCTGAAGCCAAATTGTGAGAGCTGGATGCCCTAAACCCGGACCCGTGGCATGGGAGGTCATGCAGGCGATGCAGGCGTAAAGGACAGACAGGGGGTAGTGTAGTTGACAGTTGCGGGCTTCGTCCGATAGCTCTTGTACTTCGCTTGCCTGGTGAGGGCGGCATCTTGAGAATAGTTGCCACCCACAGACATTGAGAGCACGGAGGGAAAGGCGGGGCAGCATTAGGGTCTAGGGTTTAGGGTTTAGGGTTTAGGGTTTAGGGTTTAGGGTGAAGCGTGTCACTGATTCATCCCGCTATGGTACAGTCTGCTGATCCTTGAGACCTTCTTCCGACCGTCTCTACTGTCAAACCTGTTGATCATTTCTTTGTTTTACAGCAACCGCAAAAAAGTGGTAGCTTGTTTCGCCCTCTCGTAGGGCGACATTTGTGAATTAAGTGAGCGATCAGTTCCGTGTCTCTGCATATCTCCTTTAGTGATACGCCATGAAGGCGGCGTCCCGGTACCTTGCATGCCTTTGCCGTTGCTTTGCTACGTCAGCTTGGTACCGGGACAGACCTAGATTGCTCGAGAACAGTGGCTGCAAAAGAAGTACCGCAACAGAAATGCTGTGACATGCGATGGAATCGCCGCCCTGAGCAAGTACACCCTAAACTCTAAACAATCTCCCCCAAAGCTTTGCGCTTGGGCGGAGCGGGGGTTTATGTGAAAGTATTTATATACATAGTACGACAAGACTCTCCGGTGCCAGGATGATTGTGGAGGTCGTAGCAGGGATCTAGGTGTTCGACGATGTGTGCACGCCCTGTGCAATCCTCCACTGGAGCCACAACATCTTTCGGACTGAGTACTGTGCAATTGGTGCGACCCCAGACCCATTTACCCCCTCTCATGTAAATCCTAGCGTAAACAAACATGCGTGATCCCGTGGTGCGTGTGGTAACATAGCAGTAAACTAGGAGAGGCGTGTGACGTTTGGGTCAATGTGGCAAGCAATCTGAGAATTGATACATCCCACGGGAACGTGGGCTGCATGAGCATGTGCACTTAGAGATGGAGTGACATCACGCGACTTGCTTTGATTTGACCCCACCACTCATACCGTATACCCCCCAAGCAGCCCTTAACCACACAACCGCAAGCCTTGCAGCTGGAAACCGTAGGTCTAAGATTCTCGTCTCCTGCGCCTGGGACTCGTTGCTTGTTGGGGCCTTGTCGTGCCTTGAGCCGGGCGTTTGATCCAGTAAACCAAGCGTATGCCAAACATCCCCGCTTACAAATGGAAGGCGTGTTTGTTTCGTATGGATGTCCAGACTTGACAGCCGCATCTGTGTTTTGCACATCTGCATTTGGGGAAGTGGTGTTGAGGGGGGTTCACCGACCGAGGATCAAGGAAGTGGAAATTGACCACACTAAACGTAACCCTGAACCTTAAACCCTAACCCCCAAACCCGAAAACGCCTCCTGGCATGGCGTCAGCGGGCGCTTGCATGGTCTCTTTGTGAGGCCTGTGGGTGGTTTTGGAGTCAGCATTTGCTAGCTGGCATCGGGCTTAGCTTGCATGTGTGGGGTTGAGGTTTGGCTTCCTTTGCAGTTCTCAAAGGTTTGGGGTTTTGCATTTGTTCCAGAGCCCGAACCTCGAAGATGCTTTGGCCATTAGCAATTGGGATGATTGGAAACGGGTGCGTTGGCTCGGAGTGGAGTATCGCTTTTGAGTTCTATTGCCCGGAAGTTCACGCCTGCCATCATCACACGCCCAAGCATGGTCGCTCGGAATTTCTTTGGCATTCTCCTGCTCGCCATCGAGCCGGCGGCTAGCATGCTGTATGCCATGGACATCATCGCACGATACGACCACAAGGGTGGAATGCGCGTGACAAAGGAAGTGTTTGCCCAGGACCTCAACACCCTGAAGAGCCTCGCTGAGAATGGCTTCCAGACGGATGGGACTTGCTCGCACGACTTGTGTGTAGCACCCGCAGACCTGGAGGCCAAGCGTAGGGAGAGTGAAAGGCACCTTGGCTACAGGCTAGCTTGTGTCTCTTGGGTTGAGTGAGCATGCAACGGACCTAAGATTTCAAGAACACACATGGTGAGACTGTAGTTTTCGATTTTGCACAACAGAGCAGACTCATGCCGGCTAAGGCGCAAGGCCGAGGTGAATGAGGAAGTTCGGAGGATCGAGCTCGAGGAAGCTGAAGCCAACGCGACAAAGGCTGAAGCAGAAGCGCGGCGAGCAAAGGCGCAGGCCGAAGCAACAGAGGCCGAAACACGCCGAGCCGAAGCGGAAACACGCCGAGCCGAGGCTGAAAGGCGTCGGCTTGGAGCAGAGGCCGCGCAGCGCGCGGCAGAGGCTGCTGCACGCCGATCCACCTTCGGCTTCCGCTCAAGCGGTGACCCTATCCTATGTGCCTACAACAAGTCCAGCGACGAAGTGATTCAGAAGTCCTGTGTGAACTACACGGGGCCAGCCGTGGTGACGTGCTACGACCACGACGGTTTGCAGAAGCTCATCTGGGTTGGAGTCAGCAACGAAGATGGATCCAACCGACAAGGTGAAGACGCCTGGTGGGTGGCTGAAACGCTGGCCTTGACTGTTTCAACCGGCAAATGGTCGTATGAAGACGTCACAGGCAAGCACATTGCCGATGTCTCTTGCGACACAGCAGAGGGGGGCAACGCTACTGTGCTGACGACTCCGCCAATGTCCTTCCTGAAGACTTTCCGGAACAGCAAGACCTTCCTGGTTCACACCCTACAGCCGCGAATCATTCCAGGCCCCAAGTACAGCTTCATGCAGGACATGTTGAGCGACAGTAAGCTGTCGGACCTCGTGTACGATGAGCACAATGCAAAGAACTGGATCAACGCACTCCTCATGATGCTTGGGCATGCAACGGAACATGATATTCGCTCGAAGGCACTTGGTGAGATCGCAAAATATGCTGTGGTTTATGGAGTTTCACAGGCCCAAAAGAAGCAGGGCACAAGTCAATCCCAGTTTGCTTGGCTTCCCACAGCAGTGTCTGTGTGAATCCAGCGTCAGATCATCGAAAGACAAGGCGAGTTCAGCAAAGCTTCACGCATTTTTAGAGTGAGTCCAGATTCTGAGTTTGCAAGTGTCAAGTTGTAAAGAGTACCGTCACATGTATGCAAGCAGGAAGCTTGAACTCGCGGTTTTTGTTCACTGGAGTTGTGGCACGGTTGCGGAGCCCACTTTTCGTGCGTGTTGGGGCCTAGAGTCTACCCATTATCTCACTTTTGACGTTCAGAAATGTAGAAAGATCCGCCGCGGGCCATGGCACAGGAATGTAGTAGGCACTTAGTAGGCCACGCCCAAGTATCAGGATGTGAACAGAAGAGCGGGAAGTGTGCCACAGCTCTGCTCGGCCACACGAGACGTGCCGCCTGCACCTAAAGGTGGGCTTGCCATGCAAGTTTGCGTCAGACGTGTGGCGAGGTTTGTGGAGAAAATGAAGTTTGACCGATGAAGCAGGCGATATCTTGGACAAGCGTACACGGAGGTGGTCTTCTGCCAGTGGGGTAGGTGGAAGTGCGTTTGGGCCCGACTTTCGTGTTTCTTCAACATGAGGCTTGTGCTTTTCGGCTTAGGTTCCTGCACGGTGGTCGTTTTGCATGAAGGGAAGCTGCAAAGAGATGCGCGTCACGACGTTTCGGACAGACCTGCGGCTCATCCCGATAAGCAGAAGACTTCTGAAACGAAACCCTTCCTAGAAGCACAGATCGGTGAACCTTACGATCCTCAACCCAGCCGAGCGCAGCCGCCGCGGCTGCCAGGCTTTCTTCTACAACAACCAGTAGGCTGCCATTCAATGAACCCTAAACCCTATATCAACCCGAAACTCTAGCCCTGAACCCTTAGGATGTCTCGGTCCTTGGAGAGAACCTCGAGGATAAACGCAAGTGGGGAAGGACTTCGAGGTGCAGAAGAGGGGTGGCGAGTTGCACTTCGTGAGAGCTTGTGCTGAGGAACCAGTAGGACGCAGGAAAAAGAGGCACCGCTTGTTCAGGGCAGGAGAAAGCCTGGCCATAATGTCATATGATTTGATATACTTTAACATAATTTGATATACATTGATATACTGTAATCTAATTTGATATACTTGATTTAATTTTATCTACTTTGATATAATTTGATATAATTTAATCTACTTTGATATAATTTGATATAAGTTGGCTCAAACATCGGTGAGCCGACCTTTTTCGTGCAAGCGCGACCGCGAGATGCAAGGAGAGGCCCAGCTTGCAAGGTTTGGGGTTTAGGGTTTAGGGTTTAGGGTTTCGGGTCTTCCCCAGTGTGCGGGCACATGATTTGCGATTTGGGATTGAGGAATATGAGGATCAGAGCAGGAGGGTTTGAGAGATGCAGGTCTCGGTTGATCCGAATCACCTGTTGATGTTAACATTTCAACTCTCAAAATTCATCTGTCTGCAGATGTCTGCACTGCGCCAGGAAGCCCGCCCTGACATGATGCTCGGCTTTCCACTCGGAGTGGTGCAAAGCATTCTCACCTCCAGGTGGGGCTGAGGCTGCGTTCAGAAGGCTCTTTCGCTTCAGAGCCCCCAAGCCAAGTAATGAGTCTCTTGGCTTTAATCCACGAAGGAAAGTCTCAGTCCATGAAGCCTTAGTGAGGGCTTCAAGCTTTGCAGGGGTTTGGCTTCGTCCCAGAAAGGCAGTTCCGGCCCCTAGCTTCAGCGCCAACTGGGAATTCCAACTTGCACGAATAAGCACATCAGGCATGTTCCAATATGGACTTCCGCACCCGCCGACAAGCAACGACAAAAAGTACCATGGCCTTGCATGTCGAGCGTTGTAGCACGGTCCAGCTCTTCCAGGCGTCTGGGATGGTGTACTCGCACTGCGTGCCATCGGTGAACATGGCTGTTACAGATCGCGCTTCCTTCAGAATCTTACGCGTCGCGCTCACGTCGGACCCGAATTGTTCCCCGAATCTTCTGGTTTGGGCCGGTCATAAGAGGCATCATGTCTTGAACATGTTCCCTGCATCCTGCCACGCAGGACCCGCGTCCGTGCAATATCTGGATAGCTCTTGCACCAGTGGGCTGCCAGGGCACGTCAGCCGGCCACAGAGCCGCACTACGCCACCACGAGCTCGCCTAGCGAGTGCAGCGCGGCCAGGGTGTGGATGACCGTGCACAAAGGCGGTCCTTCACCTCGCAGGAACATGTCTTCCAAGGCTTCCAAGGCTTCCCACTCCACCTGCGAGAAAGGCATCACCAGAGCAGAGTTGAACATGCGGGGCTTGTCGGGCTTGAGCAGCGACATCTCCGTCGCCCTTTCGCTGATCATGTCTTGCGCCGGGCATTCGGTGTCTGCAGCTTGTTCTCGTTGTCCAAGCACCAGTTTACAACCTGGATCGAGCCCTCCCTGCCTCCCAGGGCGCAGCGAAGCCTAAGCCCATGCTTTGGAGGCCGTCCCTGTCGGTTACCAGGTGTTTAGGGCCAGTTTAGGGTTTAGGGGTTTAGAGTTTAGGGTTTAGGGTTGAGGGTGCCCAAGGAGTGACCTTAAGCGCCTCGTTGCTGAGGTCTGCGAGTCCGCATGCTCATGGAGACCGACACTTGCCCAAGCTCGAAGCAAGGGAACCGCTGTAGGAATGTTTAAGCCCTAAGTTCAAGCCAGGTTTGACCCGGTTCAGCCCAAGCTCAACCCAGGTTGAACCAGATTCACCCGGGGTCATTATCTTACAACTTGTTCCAGAATGAGCCATGCACAGAACTGCCACCGCACGGCTGCGGCGCCGAGGTCTGCTTTTGGTTTTTGAGAGAGAGAGCGACAGAGAGCTTCGTTGCTGCGTCAGCAGCCCAGTAAGCACTCTGGCAGAATAGCTCCGAAGTGGCAGACAGCCTGTAGAATCATCGGACTACTATCCATGACTGGAAGAATAGCTTGAAGAGCGCTGTTATGTCGGCATCACTGCTTTTGGCTCCAAGTTGGAAGAGAAAGTCCGAGAGCAAGATCGGATGAGCCGAAATGGTGTTTTCTCGCCCTTCAAAGGCCCAATGGGTGAGTGGCACGGTGGTACGGTTACCCAGCTGGCCTGCTTACAAGACTTGTTGCCTTTGAGTAGAGGGGGCTTGTGTTACATATAATGTTGCTTCGGAACTCGGGGTGTGGGCAACAGCGGGCAAATGGCTTCGAAATGAGACCGACGAGTCTCCTGTTGTTGCCAAAGCATGAGGACATGTACTTGCTGTGTGTCGTTCTGATTCGCCCTTGGTACTTAAGAGCTCAGCACGCTGAGACTCTGAGTGTACATCAGGGTTTCCCAAGGCATGCTTTTGACGGGCTCCTGTGGTCACAGTGTAAAGTGCTCTTGATCACATTGTGAAGCTGGGCGAGGGCACGTGCAAGGGCGATTGCCAAATAGCCCTGAGGCTCCCTTGAACATCCCATACGCGCTCCCCCGAAATCCTCTAATCTGATTACACGCTTCAAATTAATTCAACCCCCCACGATGTTTCAGCGTAGCACAGCGTCAGTCGAACGATGTGAGCTGGCACCATGGATGGTCGCCTCGTGCGCGCGAGTGCCCAATTCCATTGACGCAGAGGCAGGCCATGATGCCGCCTGTCGGCCTGTGATTGTCCAGTTCTGCTTCGAGTATTTCCGCTGCCTCCCCGCCTTTCCCCTGCACCTCGCAGCACTTGGGGCTAGAAAATGCCGGAAGATGCTGTAAGTACTCCCGGCTGCCGAGTCGCTGCGTTGTGGGCAAAGGCTCGACCTGTGGCTTCCGTAGCCAACTTTCGTGGGCGGGCCCCAGTGTAGTGTTTCCACAGGAAGACGCAACTACTCCTGCCGGTTTGGTATCCTAGTGTGTCTGATGTTGTGGAGGTCGAAACTGCATACCGCTGTCGCAGGATCGAGGGAGAAGAGTCGCCTTCGGGCACTCATAATAAGGCCAGGCATTCTCCAGCCTCTACTACATTCAGCCCGCGCACACTCATTGCACAACCTCAAAGCTGTTCTTTTGTGGGTCGGCACCGGTTTAGTGTTTTCGCAACAAGATGTGGCTTTTCCTGTGTCGTGTTGATAGGTTAGTGTGTTTTATTTATGTTGTGGAGGTCGAAGCTGCATACCACTATCGCAAGCTTGAGGGAGTAGAGTTACCTTCAGGCACTGATAGCGCCAGGCATTCTCTACCACATGCTCTCAAGGCACAATGCCTTGGGCCCATGCGCCAGCACTCTTTCAGAGGTGTGGCAGATGGGCACGACGTCACAAGTCGTGCGCTCTCAATTCACAGCCAGGTTCCCCTGAGGGTCGGCCCTAGCGTAGTGTTTTCACAGCAAGATGCGGCTGCTACTGCCGTCTTAGTATCCTAGTGTGGCTTTTGTTGTGGAGGTAAAAACTGCAAACTGCAGTCGCAAGATCGAGCGAGACAAGTGGCTAGTGACAGGCTGCGCGCATTTGTCCGTTACCTTCGGGCGCTAAAGGGCCTACTATTCTCCCACCTCTCCTACCACATGCCGACGGCATAGTGCCTGGGGCCCACACGCCTGCACTCTTGTGAAAGGTGCGCCGGATGGGCACGACGTTCCAAGCCGCGCGCTCTCATTGCACAACCTGATTTTTGTTCTATTGTGGGTCGGCACCGGTTTAATGTTTGCACAGCAAGATGCAGCTGTATTCGAAATTGCATACTGCGTTCGCAAGATCGCGCGAGAGGAGTCGCATTTGACGACTGCCCTCGGGGCAGGTATTCTGCCGTTATTCAGCCTCGTCTCATGGCATAGTGCCTTGGGCCCATGCGCCTGCACTCTTTTCAAAGGTGCGGCGGATGGGCACGACGTTCCAAGCCGTGCACTGTCATTGCACAACTTCAGATTTGTTCTTTTGTGGGCCGACCCCGACCTAATGTTATCACAGCAAGATGCGGCTGCGTTCGAAACTGCATACGGCTGTCGCAAGCTCTCAAGGCTAAGCATTCTCATGAACAGCTAAGGACATCCGGACATCCCACTTGCCACTTCAGCTAAGAATGTCTGTAGGACTCTAGGATTTGGCTAGCTTCTGTAGAGGCGGTGAGAAGCAGGCCCCAATCAGGGCAGTCATGCGAGAGTAAGATCTGACGTGGGATAGAGGCGTGGGCCACGACTCGCGTTGCATAGTCAAGTCCGTACTTGCACGTGGTCGCTACTCATTCGCACGGCCTGACAGCGAACTCCTCTTGCAACGCTGAGCGCCGTGAGGCTTGTGAGGGCGCGAGAGCATGCGCAACTATGCTCGGTGCAGTTCAGGTCTTGTAGACCAACAAAAGCTTCCGATCGATGGAACGTGTCGCAGAGCATCGCATCTATAGCGGGACAGGCACACAAGGATTACACGAAGACTGGTTCGGCCCCCTTTTCGAGCCCTTTGACCCAGGCACCGTCAAGGTGTGGCGTTCTCATGTCATCGTCCGTAAAAGGGCAACTGCGTATCCATCGCGTATTCTTCGGGCAGACGAAGCAATTGCGGAATCTCGCTGTGCATTCGAACAGTGGTTGACACGCACACATCAGCGGATAGGGGAGATTGGACAAGACCCCGTTTGCCCAAGATTTGCATTGGCAATGTGTGCTCTGGGGTGGTAATCACGGTAAGACTACAGCGCAAGCCACATAGCGCAGCAAGTCATCACCCACGGGCCCAGAATTTGATTGCCGCTTCCCAAAGCCGAGAGAGTCTATGAAGGGCATTGCAATATCCTGTGAGACCACACTTTAGACTGGGAAAATTGCCTTTACCTTCAACTTAGGCAAAACTTTTGCAGTCGGATGCGATTTCAGGAAAGGAGCTCTATAGACAAGAAAAAGCTTCGGCTGCTCAAGGTGTTCCTGGACTGCCGCCGGTCACTTGACACACTGAGTAGCATATCTGTACCTCCAAGTTCTCGTATTCAGACTTCAATTGTGGCCCTCAGGTGCAGGTCTGAGCAAGGTGTCAAAAAGGAACGATCAGTTGAACGCAGCTCTTGTCACAGGCAACCAACACATCCACTCCACGAACTCCGTGTGTGCCGGTGGAACTTCGTTGAAGCAACAAAAAGGTTGAGAAAAGGGCTGAAAGCGATAAGATGCTTCTGCGAGAACTCGGGGTAGAGGGCCATTGCTTCGCAATGGCACCCATCGTCATGTGGGGGAAGGTCCGCCCATTTCAGACCTTGGGACCGTTCAACAGCAAGATTCCTCTGCCAACAGCAGAGGATGCCGCTGCCAAAAGCAGAGGACGCTCGTAGGTCCACGGTTGAGTCTCCCGAGTTTCCCTCAACGTGCGTCAAGCGAAGATGCCCCGTCTCTTTTGTGGGCACCTGGCACAGCCATGTAAATAATGAGCAGAGCATGCCTTCTCAATGTAGCTCTCTTTGGACATCTCTCCCTCTGAACTTGGCTAAGCCTCTTCCCAGGCAGATGCCACGAGCACGGCAAGTGCGGTGTAGAAGTGGTGTAGACTTAGCATCCGCTGATTGGACCGATGCAAACCTGCGTTCCCGTGCTACGGAGCATGACGGTCCACGACAAGCATGGCAAGGGCATTGTTAACGTAGTGCCAAGAAGGCAGATGTCACAAACATCTTGTGAACAGGGTCCATGCAAGAGTTCGCTTGGAGATTGGTACGAAAGCAAGCCCTCTGTCCTTTGCTGAGGCGCGACTGGTCACAATCGATTCGCATGGCCTTTCTCGGTCTTACCCGATCAAAGGTGCTCCAGAAATGTACCGCACTGGAGACCTCGCGACCTGCTCAACATGCATGGCATGACGGCATCTCACTCACCGTCGCCCCAATCACCCCTGCTCTCACTCTGCCTCCGCTCCGCTCCAGGGCTTTTCGTACTTTCGACACCGGGTGAAGGTTGCCGGTGGCGGGAGCAGAGTGAGTCCCAGAGATGAAGAAGTGTTGCAGGCTCCAGCAAGCCACACACATGCGTGGTCTCGTGAGAATGAAGAGGTGTCTCTCTGCATGCCGGCTCTGCTCGAGGCATGATCTCCGTTTGCTTGAGCTACTGCCTTTGAAATATGGTGCCAACTTGCACTTTGAGCAGGCGCCGCAGGCACGAAGACCTGCGCACTCAAAGCGCCTTACGCCCCCAAGGTCCTTTCCTCCCCCATCCATCCTTGAACCTTTTTTTTGCGATTACTTGAATTAGTTGTGACTTTTTGAGTCGTTCTGCCCCGTCAGAACCGTCCTCTCTTCAATTTTTTGAATGAAATCTTCCCCAACCCGCCGTGACGAGCAGTGTCCATGCATCCATGCATCTCAAGTTGCACCAACTTGTCTTTACTTTCCTCGCTGAACAGTTCCCGACTTCCGCAGATGGGCTTACAGTTCAGCCACTCCATCTTCATTAAGTGTCTCTTACAAGTGTGTCTCGCAAATCTCGTAGGACATGAGGTTTTCTGCTGACTCCTGTTGAGCTCTCAACGCGCTCCGCCAGCATCTCCCCGCAAAGTGAGCCTTAAGAAGCCATGAAGTGATGTGTGAGGGGAAGTGAGACAGATATGGGAACTATTTGCCCTCAACAAAGCACGGGCTTCCGAGGCGCGACTTCGCTGTGAGGAAGCCGGTCGAATGATGCCGTGGTGAACAAGATGTACCCTGAGATCGCGCAACTCCATCTCACTGAGTACTTGAGTGTTAAGGGCAGTGACTGACGCAGCCCTTTAACCAGAGTTCCCGCGAGTGGAGTCAAAGCGCTGCGCTCTTCGGCCAAGCGAAAAAACATCCCCGCCCTTTCCGTGGGCACTAGGCACGCAGGCCTAGCATGGCTTTGGCATAAACTGACTCTTTAGCTTTGCGGACATGCCTCTGAACTCTGAACTTGGCCGAGCCTCATCCCACGCCGATGCCACGGGTAAGCATGGCAAGTGCAGGGTAGAGCTGCCATCCGCTGCTTCGACCGATGCAAGATGCAATCCCCGTGTGATGCGCGCTGCGCACCAGAATCCATGAGAAAGCCGGGCAATAACCGGGGTCAAAGCAGCTTCGCTGGAGGAAGCCCATGAAAGCAGCAGCGATGCCTAGAGGCAGCTTGGCATCATCACGGCAGGCAGATGTCACGAACATGTTGTAAGGATCCATGCTATGTGGTGAGTCGGCATCGGCAGGCGCACAGCCGCCGGAAGCAGCTCTCAATGTCCATCCGCACAGGAGGCCGCGCCACTTATGCGCTCACAGCGTGTGGCAGCGTGTGGCTGCGTTCCACTGGGCCCCTGGTCTTCCCCTTGGAAGGTCACGTGAACTCGGAGCAAAGTCAACAAAGAACCTACATCGAAGTGCACAGGTGACAGAAATGAGATTGTACCCTTTGCTGACATGGCTGAGATATGCAAACAGACAAACAGTCAAACAGACAAGCATAAACAAACATAGACCAAAATTAGACAAATATAAAGACAGCAAGGGGGGAATGAAGGAGATGTGCACAAGGGTCAAAAGCTGCCCCCTCGATTGCCTCGGCTTAAGCTTGCGAGTTGGGACCTGGGGAATGTGGAGTGGGCTTTCAGAACGCAAGTAGCAGGTGCTGTCGACTTCTCTTGAGGTGTGACTGCAAGGACTGCAAGGCCCAGAGTGCTTTGCACGCTCATGAGCGAATCCCTGCGTGGGTTGCTGTTTTGGTACAGCTCTTGTGCACCAGTGCTGTGAATTGGTGCCCGAGTCTAATGGGGCAGGCTGCCCGAGAACTGCGAGCATGGTCAACAACGGCCTTATGTCTCCAGCCGTGCAGTTGAGTGGTGAATCGTGTGCGTTGCCGCAGCCGCTCAAACACTCAGCGACCTGCATGTTTTTGCTATAGTTCCTGCGGAGTGTCCTCCGCCAACTACCACAGTACATAGCTCGAGAGTTCGGCCTGGCGGGCGGCTTCGCAAGCCCCGGCTTTTGCCTGACTTCTATTCTCAGGGCGGATTGTTTTGCTGAGGAAGCGGTTGAGTGCGAAGGATCCGAGTTATTGATCTGTGAGATGTTGCGAGAGATGATCTTTGGTGATATTTCATGGCTTCTCTTAGAGTAGCTGGTGGTCCGTTGAACAGAGGGTGCCTGTCCTTGCGATTTCTGGTTGCCAGAACCATGACATGAATCTCAAGACTCATTCGGTCCTTCGGCCCTTGAATCCTGGGCACTCTAGAAGAGCTCCGACGGTTCAGAACGGCTCCAGACTGTTTGGAAGCGGGCTTCCGAGAACGCCGGGGCAGTTCCTGATGAACTGTCTATTGGTTCCAGAGCCCCTTGTTGCCACACACACGCACAAAGTAAGGCACCGGGCTTCGCAAGGCCCTTTTTTTTTTTTTTGCCATGGAGAGATAGGCAGTGCTCCTCAAGCCTCGGAAGCTTTCGTGGGCCATGGGCTGGCCACTTCACAAGCTGGACTGACACATACATACCGAGGCCCGGTGACTCTGTGAGGCTCTCATGCGCACTGCTGCCTCGCTGCCGCACTTCTGTGCCGTTCCGTGCATGCGACTCCTCGATGAGGCCCTTGTGACCTTGTGTCGCACGTGGCATCTCGATAAACCTCGATGGCCTGGAAGGGCTGGCTCCTGAAGCAGAACGTCAATTTCAACAATGTCAGGCGCTGGACATGTCCTGACACGAGGTCATGCAGGTTCACCAATGCTTCCTTCTTCCTTGGGGGCCTTTCGGGCTTTCCTCCGCCCGCCTCTGCTGAAGCTGCATGGTCGGTCCATCTGTTCGCGCTTCCCGTTGTCAGTTTCCTTTTGGCTTCGATGTACGTGTCGACTTCCTTGAGCCTCGAACCGAAAAGGTCGACCCGCTTTGGGTCTAGGAGCTTTGAAAAAGGGTGTTCTCTGCTTCTTCTTGAGGACGAGCTCGGATCCGGAACGACGAAATCGGCGGTGGCTCTTCTAGCATCACCTGCGATTTCGCCAGATGACAGCTCCTGATGTCCTCGATACACGGGGGCATCCTCAGCCATGGCAAAACTCTCGAAGCCCTAGGCGCACGAGTTGTGGGCCTGGTCCTGCTGTCATGTTTGATGTTGTGCCGAATGGAGGCTAGCATTCGCAGCACCCGCATTCGCCACGCCATGCGCTTGATGCCTCTTGCAGAGCCTGATGTCAGGGAGCGAGGTGAAGCTGCCCGGTTCGGGGCCGTGTTCCGTCACTTGGCAGACGATGGTCGTATTCTTGAAGCCAAGCTTCCAGATGTTTTCACTGGCTGCGTGGCTGTCATACAGCATGCAATGTGTCCAGTGCGGCTTCTTTTCCCTCTGTGTTGCCTCCGTGACTCCTTTGTGCTGCCCGCATTGCCCGCAGCGGCCGGAGTCAAAGCATCTGAGGCCTCACCTTGCAAGGGCCTCCTGGCAGTAGGGGCACGGTGGCTGGCATGTCTCGGTGTGTTGCCGGGGTCGAATCAGCACATGACCGACATAGCTCACACGATCACAGACACGCCGCTCACGACTTGCAAAGCCAGCCAGCCTTGCAGGCTCGCCCGACAATGCCTGCAATTTCGAGCCGTGTCCAGTCTGACACCGCTCGTCACGATGCTCCACTCGGCTGTCCAATTTTCTTTTGCTCTGCAGCAGGGCCAAAAGGACGCTGCCATAGCCCAAACTCATCGCATCTCCCCAGCTGTGGTGTCGCACCGGCTGTGCCAGTCAACCTTCATCGAGACACAGGGCATCGGAAGGAGTCATTGCCGAGTCACCTGGCTGTTCAACGGATGTAGGCGGCGTGTCGCAAAAACACTCGTCTTTTTTTCTTTTTTGTTTTTTTCACCCTGTCTCAGTTCTTGAGATCCCAAACGCTAGAAACCTAGGAGATGCACAACCCTTTAATATGTGACATATGTGTCATGCACTTTAGCCGGCGGTATTGTTCCATGGCAGCTCCTTGTAGTGGAAGGGCAGACAGCGCTTGCAAGCCACACCGTGATAAGCAGACTCGTGACTCTTCTTGGTTTCTCTTGAATGGCAGCGGCTCTGTTGACGACAAATGTGCTAGACACACTAGCAGGAAGCCTGGCACAATTCATTCTTTCACGAACAAAACCCGTCCCGACTCACTCGATGACTGCGTAGATACAAGAACTGCTCCGATGATTATTATCGGTAGGCTGGCACGAAACTGTTCCTACTTCCTTCGAACGCGGATTCTCTTTCTGCTGCAGAGAAAAGTCTAGACTTGATGGGTTTGGGATGGTGTAGGGGGAACATGATGAACCCCCACATGATGGCAAGTGTCTTCTGCATGCTGGTATTCCGGCTCCCAGCTACACGCATCCCAGCGCCAACGGTGCGGCGAAGCGTAGTACAGGGACCCGAAAAGTCACAGTTGACATATTCAATGCACTGGCAACTTCTACCATCCATGTTAGGACCTGATGTGCAGTCGAATGTTTCGTGTTTACGGCCTTTGTGTGTTTTTTGGGTCCCTGGGTGTCTCTCCAGCTTTCAAAGGGTCGCATCATGATCGACTACGAACTTGGTGGCTGGTTCTTTTGCAGAGGCTTGTTGCCAGGCAGCCTTTGGGAAGTTTAGGGTTTAGGGTTTAGGGTTTAGGGTTTAGGGGAAGTCTCAACTCTTCTTTTGTTGGGTTCAAGCGGGTCGTGGTTTTTACAAGGGGGTTAGGATTTTTAGGTAGGTGGGTAGCCTTCGCTGTGTTAGGGTTACAGGAGCTTGTTTGGGCATATTTGCCAAAGGGATGAAAGAGCCCGACTAAGTTGCAGAAGAACACACGGGCCTGTTTCGATTGGTCTTATTACCAAAGGGGCCCCGCATTGTTTTATTCAATGGGTTTGTTTTTCGCTTACAAGGGGCCCGTCGCGAATCCTCAGCCCCTTTCCCTAAACTACCCTAAACCCTAAACCCTAAACCCAAAACCCTAAACCGTAAACCCTAAACCCGAAACCCTAAACCCGAAAACCCTGAACCAAAGACCCATCTGAGGTTCAAATTCCAGGGCTCCGTCTTTCCGAAAACGCTGATCTGCGCGATCCCATGCACTGTGCCCAAGCTGCAAATGGTTGAGGTTTAGGATTTAGGGTTTAGGGGGTTTAGGGTTGGGTTTAGGGTTTAGGATTTAGGGTTTAGGGTTTAGGGTTTAGGATTTAGGGTTTAGGGTTTAGGGTTTAGGGCTGAATCTCCGCGGCAGCTCGATTCTCCTCTCTTCCTTCACTTCTAACCCGAGGCCTGCAGACATCCCAGGCCTGAGACCTCCAAACCCTAAACCTGAGCCCTAAGCCCTAAGCCCTAAGCCCTAAGCCTTAAGCCCTAAGCCCTAAGCCCTAAGCCCTAAGCCCTAAACCCTAAACCCTAACCCTAAACCCTAAACCCTAAACTCCGAACCTTGAAATCCCAGCTTCAGGTTCTGGCCATCCTCTGCGAGATCTACTGGGATGCCGAGGATCATCACCAAAACGGGTGCCTAGTAGAGCTCAGGTAGTAGGGTTTAGGGTCTTTAGGGTTTTTAGGGTTTTTAGTTTAGGGTTTTTGGGGGTTTTAGGGTTTGGGGGTTTTAGGGTTTAGGGTTGTTAGGGTTCGGGGTTTAGGGTTTGGGGTCTAGGGCTTGCGGGGCCTAACCCCGAACCCTACAATCGGGAGGAGTGGTGCGAGCGGCTTTGGACGGTCTGGTCCGGAAGCTTGGCTTCGTCGTGCTGAAGGGATTTTGGGGGGTGTAGGGTTTATGTTTAGTAGCTTAGGGATGTTTAGGGGTGTAGGGTTTGGGGTAGGGATTTTGTTTTGGGGTACAAGGTTTTGCGTCCAGCCGATTCCATGCATTGACTTCCCTTTTCACCATGCTTCAGCAGAAGCAGCTGAGAATCATTTTAAATCCTTCCGCAGAAGCAGCTGAAAACCTGATTCCTCAATCCGTGCCCTGAAGCCGACAGTTGGATAAGAAAGGATACTCCTTCGTGCTCTCCTTCTTGGTCGCACCTTTGCTGCATTCGTGGGCCCCCACACCCTCAAGCCCCCAAGCGCAAAGAAACCTATACCTTTAATCCTAAACCCTAAACCCTAAACCCTAAACCCTAAACCCTAAACCCTAAACCCTAAACCCTAAACCCTAAACCCTAAACCCCCGTAATGCCCTCGGCAGATCCCTCCTAGACCTTTTCCGGGTGCTTCAGAGCATCCTATGCCCCTCCAGAGGTTTAGAGTTTGTAGGGTTCAGGGTTCAGGGTTCAGGGTTCGGTTTAGGCTTTGGGGTTTAGCGGGTTCAGGGTATAGGGTTTAGGGTTTAGAGGGGTTTAGGGTTCAGGGTTTAGGGTTACACCCTAAAAGCCTGGGCTGTAACCCACCGCTGTATTGGATGCCCAGTATAGGGGAAAGACCCTTGGGTATAATGGTCAAGTCAGGGCGCGATCCTTATCCCGAAGACACCCGAGTGGTGCCACTATCCACAAGAAAAATCAGACTCCCCTAAACCCTAAACTCTAAACCCTCAAACCCCCCGGAGGAAGGCCTCCTGAAGGGACCAAGGAGAAAACAGAGTCTTTTGCCCCCCCCCCCCCCCCGTTTGTGTTGGAGTGTTTTTTTTTTTTGTTGGGCGGGGGGGGGGGGGGGGGGGGGGGTTGAGAGTCTGCGATCCTGCTCCAGGTGTTCCGAAACAACCAGGCGTACTCTCGCTTCTGGGAAGGTGTCACCCTCATGAACAAGATGCGAGGAGAGCTCCCTGTGAACCCCCGAAGTCCTAAGCATCCTGGTTTCGGATGCAGGGGCCCATTGTCCGCATTGCCACGGAAGCCCTTAGCCCAAACTTCCAACCCCTCAGCCCGTAAACGCGCTGCGCGGCGAATAGTTAGAATGGTAGTGCTACTACTTATACGAATATAAGTCATACTTGACTTAGTAGTTTTGCACTGTCACTCCTAGGAACCTGCGAAAGAATGTGGCGTTACACTCTGTGCGAAGTCTTCGGGGCAGGAGAATGGTTCAACGTGTGTACGAGCCTCCTGGCATTCTGCTCTGCCGATCCGGAGAAGTCCGAGCAGGCCAGGGGCGCGCTGTGAACCAAGAGGTTTTGGGGGGCCCAGTTAAAATTTAAGGGTAGTTTCCTAGTCAAAATAGAAGGGTAGTTTCCTAAAGGAGGAGGGTCCCTTTCTTTGGGTAATTTCGAGAACTACCCATAAGGTTGAGGTTAGGGGCATGTGGGCTTCAGGGCTGAGAGTTTGATCAGGCCCAGGGTTGACTTCGGGAGCTTCAGATTCAGGGCTCATGTCGTTCACACTTCTGCAGGGGCCTTAGGGGCTGCAGAGCACCCATCCAGGCCAGGGTCTGGGCACTAGGGAGTTGGGGGTTTTCGAGCCCTGGGCCCGAAGCAACTACGTGCGCCCAACCTGGACCTGAACCCGCAGCTCGCCAAATCGCAATGTAGCTCCTAAACCTTAAGCCCCGAACTCCCAACCCACCCTCAACTCTAAACCTCAACCCTCCTACCCCGGCCGCCAAAATCAGACCCCCAGGCCCTCCCAAAATTCCAAGACCCCCTCCCCACCCAAACTCTCCACCCTAAACCCTAAACCCCCCAAAAACACAAACAGCCTTTAGCCCCCAAAAGCCCAAAACACCCTGAAGCCCTAAACACCCGAAAGCCAAGATCCGCAACCCCGAGCTCTAAACCCTAAACCCTAAACCCTAAACCCTAAACCCTAAACCCTAAACCCTAGACCCTAAACCCTAAACCCTAAACCCTAAACCCTAAACCCTAAACCCTAAACCCTAAACCCTAAACCCTAAACCCTAAACAGGTGGTGATCTTCCAAGAACTCCTGGTGCGCCTCATGAGCTTCTGGGCTCAGGGCTTCAGTTGGCAACAAGGGTTTAGGGCTTAGGGTTTAGGCGGTTTAGGGTTTAGGGTTTAGGGTTTGGGGTTTAGGGTTTAGGGTTTAGGGCTTTGGGCTTAGGGTCTAGATGGTTCTTAAACTTTACATTCTGAAGCCGGAACTTTGAACCATCTCTAAGGTTTAGAAAATCGGCCGGTCTAGGGTGTGGAGGGCTTAGGGGTGTGGTGTGTAGAGGGTTAGGGGTTTAGTGGGTAGGGTGAGGGTTGAGGGGCTGGAGTTCGGGTTTCGGGTTGTTTCAGCGGTGTTTAGAGGGGTCAAAAGGGTGTAGGGTGAAGCTCTTGGCCTGACTCAAAGAAGCCGAGCACCCTAAACATAAAGTCTGGAAGCCCGAAAGCTCTCAAACCCCCAAGCCAAGCCCTGAACCAAGGGACCCTAAACCCCAAACCCTGGACTGCCTGAGCCCTGAACCCTAAAACCCTAAACCCTAAACCCTAAACCCTAAACCCTAAACCCTAAACCCTAAACCCTAAACCCTAAACCCTAAACCCTAAACCCTAAACCCTAAACCCTAAACCCTGAACCCTGAACCCTAAACGCCCTGAACCCGAAACCCTAAACCCTTTCAAGCGAGGCTTGCTGCACTGCTCGGCCCTACAGCTGGTCTGCAAGCTGAAGGAGCCCTAGGGGCTCTCTTGCTCAACCCGACACCCTAAACCCGAAACTCTAAACCCTAAAACCCTCAATCGGAAACCCTGAACCCCAAGGGCTTGAGGGGTTTGGGGTTTTGAGCTTGTTGGTTATTTGTTGCGCGGTTCGCTTGCTAGGCATTCGTTGTTGGGTTCTGTTGGTTGGGTTTAGGGGTGAAATTAAAGGAGGCACGAAAAGCGAAACCCATACTGGAGGGCTAAGCCCTAAACCCGAAACCCTAAGCCCTAAACCCTAAACCCTAAACAATAAAACCCTAAGCCGCTAAGGCAAGCTATGGATGGACTGGGGCTTTTTGGGGGGGTATTTTACGGTTTCCAATTCAGGGCCCAGACTACGGGACCATGTAACTACCGTAGCAACCAGACTGCAACCTAGAACAGGGTTCTCTTTCAGTGAAGCTCGGAGACCCTAAGCGCTGGCTCTCTGCGAACCCTAAACCCTAAACCCTAAACCCTAAACCCTAAACCCTAAACCCTAAACCCTAAACCCTAAACCCTAAACCCTAAACCCTAAACGAAGCCCCAATCTCGAAGGACAAGCGCCTTGAGCTGATCGATGTGTACGGAGTTGACGCGAGCAGCTTGACTCACATCCGAGATGCCTCCAACCGTTGCTTGGCAGCTTCTTGAGTTTGAGAGTTTAGGGTTTAGGGTTTAGGGTTTCGGTTTTCGGGTTTAAGGTTCAGGGTTTAGGGAATTGGGTTTTGAGGGTTTTCGGCTTTGGGTTATAGCAGATGCACTTTTTGAAGTCAAGAGGATGCCATAGGAATGTTCATTTAACGCATATTTTCCAGGGGCAAGGGTTTGGGGCCCATAACATGGGCTTGGGGTTTCAGGTCTAGGGCTTAGGGTTTTAGGGTTTAGGGTTAAAGGTTCAGCAAGTTGGGGTCAGTTGTAGGGTCTAGGGCTTGGGGTTTGGTATCCCCAGCCTTTTCCGGGTGTATGAAGGGAAGCCACAAGCAAAGGTTGCGACGTGATTTGCCTCTGGCTGACGCGCATGGTGCTGGAGAACCACCTCAATCAAGTTCTTGTGGCCCCCGCACCCATTCTCTCAAGATCCTTTCAAGACTTGGGTCGAGGCAGGGTGAACCTCTCAGACCTGGTGAAGATTCGGGACATCCCCTTCCCCTTCCCATACTCGCAGCTCATTGCGACCATGCTGGCAATTCACTCGGTCATCACGAGCGTGATCACGAGCCAGTTTGTACACCCATGGTACCATGCGGGCCTCATCACCTTCATCACCATGACAGGCTTCTGGGCTCTCTTCTACATCTGTGCGGAGATTGACCACCCCTTCGGGGATGATCCCAATGACCTCCCACTGACGGACTTGCAGCATGATTGGAATGTCCGCCTGCTGGAGTTGCTGGATCCAAAGTCCCAGCGTGTGCCGGCATTCACAGTGCACGCGCACGGCATGAACGCCGCAAGATTCTCGATCACGTCGTACCTCGCCCGGTCGGAAGTGGGCAAAGGGCGCCATACCACCACACATGCCAGCCCGGACATCTTCAACTCGCTCGATGACCTCATCACTCACCACCAGAGCATGGCGGACATGCCGAAGCTGAGGCCATCGCCCTCGCAGGGGACGGAGAACTCCAGGGGCGAAGATGTCTATGTCTTGGGCCAAGAGTCGCGGGTCGGGTGCATGAAGCCCTTTCGCACCACGGAGTCGCCACTCGGAGCCGCGGAGCGCCCAGCGGAGCGCCCGGCGGAGCGCCCAGATCGGCTCACCTACCCGGCGGTGACCCAGACGCTGGACTGAGAGGGAGTCGGAATTCGAGCCTTGAGCTGGTCAACCCAGCTTTTGCATGGAGCATAAGAGCATGTACAGCAAAAAAGAGCCGGCATGAGGCGGGAGCACAGAGAGGCCTGCCAGATTCTGCCACGGAGCGCCATGAATTCACCTGCCCCTGTACATCTCAGATGCAGCTTCGGACCAGGGATCGCGTCATCATCGAGCTTGCTGTGGGGACAGGTACGAGTACAGGTTGCGGAAAACCCGGCGGCTCTTTCTTCTTTTTTTTACTCTCCTTCGCGACGCTGCGGAGCAGCGTCGCAGAAGTCTGCACCGTCCGACTTTTGCACGAACCACGCCAGGAAGGCATTGAAGCTTCCGAATTGTGTCAGCGAAATACAAGGAAGCCTGTTTGGGGCACCCTCGCTAGTCGTGTAGAACCGGAAGGTTGGCAAGAGTCGGCAAGAAGGCGGCATCTCCACTCCAAGAGTCCGGAATGCGGCCACGCCCATCAGGGTGATATCACAGTTATATCACAGCGACGGAAAGCACTGCCGAAGAATAAGAGCAGCACCGGGCCTTCCAACCCCCCCAGGAAGACGCTTTACCGGAGGATGTTTTAGGACTGCCATAAGGGCTGTTCTAGAATTCGGGCCCCCTGCAGGAAACCTTAAAACCCTAAATCCTCAACCCTACACCTAAAACTAAAAGAACAGGTCCGCAAAGCAACCCGAACCTCCAATTGGATGGTTGGGCTTTGCACCCAACCCTGAAACATCCCAAAGTCCTAAAACCTTCATACCTTGAAACCCTAAATCCTCCCCTTTCAGCCCCTATCACCCCCCAAGGCCTCATGCCATAAAACCCTACTGCCCCAAACCCTAAAAAAACCCAGAAAGGCACCCGAGTTGACTGATCACTGCTGCTTTTCTCAGTCAGCTCCAGCCGGCCAAGATGCAAAAACCCGGAAACTATTTAAGGTTTAGGGTCCAGGGTTTAGGGTTTAGGTTGAGGGTTTAGGGTTTAGGGGTTAGGGCCTGAAAGCCTAGGGACAGCATCGGGCTTCCGGCCGCAGGTCTATAGGGTTGACAGTTAAAAAGAACGGTCGAACATTCAAACCCAAAACCCAAACCCTAAACCCTAAAACCGAAACCCTAAAGACTAACCACCCCCCCACCCCCCCCACCCCTCCCAAATGGAGCGGCCATTCCTTCATGGAGCTCTCCAGTGCCTTCCGCCCGGACGCCGAGCTCGCAGCACTCATTGGGGAGCTGGAACGCTTGGGCGGTCGCGCCCTGGTCTGGGCCGAGGAGGGTTTCAGAACTTCACGAGGGTTCAGGGCTCAGGAGGGTTTGAGCGTTTAGGGTTTGGGTTCGGGCTGAATGGGAAAGCTGAGGGCGCAGGGCTTGGGGCTTGGGGAGACTTGAAGCTTTTGAGTGTAGGTCTGGGAGGGAGTTGGGGTTCAGGAGGTTTAGGGTTTAGGGTTTGGGGTCTAGGTGGTTCGGCTTTCTTTACCCTAAAAGCCCCGGAAATTGATTCCTAAATCCTAAACCGCTGAACCCCAAATCCCTGAACCCTAAATCCGTAGACCCTAAGCCCTAAACCCGAACCAACACGATCGATGCTTTCCTTGCAGCCCAGGCGACCTGGTGGTGAGCAGCTTTCGGCGCAGCCACTTCCAGGTCAAGTGCCAGTCCTATGGCTTCTACTACATCCTCGTGGTGAAGTACAGGGAGACCAGGGGGTAAAGGGTTGAGGGTTTGGGGTTTAGGGTCTAGGGTCATAGGGTTTGGGGCTCAGGGGGTTTGGAGGTGGTAGGGTCCTTTGAGGCTACGACAACACATGGAGGAAGCGCGCAGGATGTCGCAGCAACGATTTGGGGATCAGGGTTCTGGCTGCAACCTCACGGCGTTGCTCCCTCGGTGTAGCTATCGACGAGCCACTTTCGAAAGCCTTGGCTGGCTCACGGCAGTTTTCTTTGTGAAAAATGAGCTGCCACTGCGTGTTCAGGAACACATCCGCAAAGCAAACTGTCGGGGGGGGGGGTTTGAACCCTGAAGCCTAACTCAAAGGAATGGCTCCCGGGATTGCAACCCCGAAAGTATGACGTAACCCCAAAACCCCAAACCCCCATAGACCTTAAAGCCCAAAGTGAGCAGACCCTGCAACCCTGAAGCCTAAAAGTTAAGGACGGATGCGACTCCACACCTTGAAACCCCTCAACCCTGACGCGCAAACTCCAAGGCCCGCAGCCCAGAGCATCACCCAGAATCCCCAAATCCGCAAACCCACCCTAGGGCCACCCCAAAGTCCCAACCTTAGAACCCCCAAAATCCCTGAACCCTGGCTTCCTTCCCCCCACCCAAGCTGAGCCTGAACCAAAGAAAGCAGCGACGGCAGGAGGGCAACCCAATCTGGAAGCCCCGCTGGGCGCGCGAGGCGCGCGGCCGAGGCTTCGCGGCTCCTTGGTACGGGTTTTGGGGGTTCAGGGTTTAGGGTTGTTTTTTCTCCCACCCTCAATGTGGGGTTGTAAGATTTTAAGCTAAACTCTTCTCCTCCCCCCGATCTGCTCTTCGCCCATCACCCGTATCCCACCTCAGAGTATTCCCAGGGTGTGACTGCAGTTCCCAACCCCACAAAAATCAAATCTGTACTGTAGGGTGGGGGATGTTCGGAGTACAGTTTTTGTTTTTTGAATCGGGTTTATAGAGACAGGGTTGCGGTAGGTTTAAGATACATGTTTCGTCAAGCGAGGGAGTGTTGGGGAGTAGTAGGGAACCTTGGGTTACATAGCCTTCTTGAACCCCCCTTCCCTTAAAACCCCCCGTCCCTTAAGCGCCCTATAAAAGAAGCTCGGCACAAATAGAGAAACGCTGCGCTTCCCACGTCCGGCAGTCCTGAACCCTCCAACCACTCACCCCAAAACCCGAAACCTGAAGCCCTGATCCCTCAACCCGATACCTAAGCGTTTAACCCTAGTTTTACGGAGGTTTGCGAAAACAAGGGACCCCTAATATAGACCTCAAAGAGTAGGATTCCCTTATAATAATAAGGCACCCCCTAATATCGTAAACCCCCATATCAACCTCAAGCCCTGGCCATCCTCAGCACTTTGAGGGGCAGAATGCAAGACCCGCAGCCAAGGTCTTCCCTGGCCGGGTGTTGGAGCTCAAAAGCCACCAAGCGAAAGTCTAGGGCTTGGGGTCTAAGGGTTTAGGGCGTAGGGCTTAAGGGCTTAGGGCTTCGCGTCGAGGGTTTCGGGCTTGGCTAGGGTACTTGATGATCGAGGCTTTCAGCAGCATTCGCGCTCCCAAGCCTTCCAGGTTTTCGCCTCAAACACTCCCGGCTGCGTTAGGTCTTCGAGCTTGCGGGGAGGTTTGCCCGAAACCCTAAACCCAAAACCCTCAAAATATCGTAGTGTTTTACCCAACCCCCAAGATGCCGAGCCCCCTCCTTCGGGGTCAGTTGCGTGAAGCCGAGGATAGCCGAGGTGGCAACCCTGGCACAAGCCCAAACTCCCAAACCCGAAGCCCAGAAACCCCGAAGGGTCCTAAGGTTTTTGGGGCAAACCCCCTAGACTCCTGTACTCCTCACCCCCCTAAAATTTGAGGGTAGAATGCAGCACTCTGCCCCATGCAAAGCTCAGGCAGCCTGGTCCGAGGGGCGGAGCTTCTCACCAAGCAGCATGTGGAGCCCTGATGGCTTATTGCGAGTTTAGGGTCTGAGGGGTTTCGTGAGCCTTTTCGCATGTTTCATGGAACTGTGATGTGTTGCAAACGGCTCCAAAAAAACTGCTGAAGGTGCCTTTTGCTGCAGGACTGGGGCGTCGCGCACACGCAAGACGATCATCGGGAGCTCGACGCCAGCCAGGAGCAGATCAAGCAGGCCTTCCAATTGCCAGGCCAGCCGCTGTCCGAGGCGCGCGATTTCGGTCGTGAGGGTGCTCCGAGTCTTGGGCTGCTGGACTTTGTAATCTGGAGTGGGTACCTTGTGGGTACCTTGGATACAGGGAGCTGTAGGGCTGTGTTAAAACCAACAGTAGCCCGAGAGCCCAACAAAAAGCGTAGCTCTGTCATCGTTCCTCGCAGAGGCGTTCCTTACGGGGAAGGTCGATGGCTCGTTGCTGGTTGTCACTTTCTACCCGCGGGACACCCTGCAGTACAGGGTGATGAGGAGCGTGGCGTTGCGGGAATTTCACGTGGAGAACTCGCATGGCCTGTATGTTCCCGCCACCTCGGCTGGCGTTTTCGTGTCCGGTGCCGTGCGAGACCTATTCATCACGGCCATTGCTGGCACGCTGGGATTCCCCGACCTGGGCCAAGAGACTCCTCCGATGGAGTACGCGGATTGCACTTGGGAGCAGCCTTCAAGTTCGTTGCTGTAACGCCCGGCTTTTCAAGTTTTGTCTGCCATGCAGCATGTTAAGTTACCTCCTAATTGGAGCACATGGTCTCAGGTATTGGCTGGAGATGAGGCATTCATTCTGCGTGTGGCTCGACAACGTGCTGGGCCCGGATTTCCCTGACTTCGACCAGCAGGTGAGCTACGTCTTCGAGATGGTCTGCCGAGATCGTACCACCTACACGGGCAAGGAACACACAGAACTCACTGTCGGTTACAAGGACTCTGGGTTGTTCCTTCTGGGTGCCCTTGCGAGAAACAAGCACCTCAAGCGGCGTTTCAGGTCATTTCATTGACGGTTTAGGGTCGGGGCTCAGGTCATTAGGGAATGCTGAGGGGTTTGGGGGCTTCGGGTTTAGGGTTTGCGTGTTCCAAACACTCCTAAATCCCCTGAACTACACCCTCTGACCCGTATACACCCTAAAGAAGCCTCTGCCCTTTGTCTGACTCGTGCTTAGTAGGGAATCCAAAGGTTCCCCCAGTCAGTCCTTATATGGGGGGATATAAGGCACCTGGTGCCGATCCCTAGTTCCCTACTAAGACTAAAAAGTGGGAAGTCTTTTGGGGGTTCGAGGTCACCTCTCATGGCGTCTGATGAAGCCAGGAATCCAACGGGACCCCAAAAC